GGGAAAGATTTTCGTGAATCAAGAGTGCAGAAAACTAATGATTCGTTCGGCAGTAGTTTAGGTGTCACCAGTTTACTTTAGTCCATTCTGCTGGCTCCTCAAAAGCACTTAAATATTTCTAGAATATGACCCCTTAGCATTATGTTGCTCTGTGTGTATGTTGGGGGTTGTGGTGTTACCCTAGACACTGGACTGTCTCCAGGGCTTTTAGGATCATCTACAAAATACAGGATTGCAAGATGATCTTTTCTTGGGGGGGCGGGGGGCGGGAAGTATGTAATACATTACAAAATCAGACACGCTATTTTTGCTCATTTATGCAGCCATACTTTTTGTGTGTTTTAAATTATGAAATGTTTACTATATTTTGAGGGTAAAAGTAATCAAAATCCTGAGACCTCAAAGAAATTCGAAGAGATATAAAGAAATCAGACCGTTAAAAGATGCTCCGGCAAGAAAAAAATCAGAGGACATTAACATTGGTCTGATCTGCAAAACTAGACCGACCGACAGACAGGCCCTGTGCCATGTATAGTTAATTAAGAAGAGGCTGTGTGTGTAAGAGCTTGGTCTCTACACTCCAGCTGACCTGGATTCAAATTATTGCTCTGTTACCTACCAACTTTATGACTTTAGGCAAGTTCTTTAATCTCTGAGTTTGCTAACCTATAAGATAATTATACCATCTACCTGAAAAGAATAAGTAAGATAATGTATAAAAAGCCTTTCGAATAGTACAGTAAACCCCCTACATGTGAACCTTCAAGTTGCTAACTTTCAAAGACGCGAACATACTTTCTCATGTCCAGTCACGTAAGTTACTTCACGTGCCTGGTGTACATTGTCACGTGCGTGCATTCTCTACAGGTGGTTGTGCTTTTGTGCACTTTACAGTACTGTGTAGGGTACAGTAGTACAGTATCTTTATTTCAAGCTAGATCTACAAGAGGACAACTTCACTGAACTCCTTGCTGTGCAGCCCAAGAAGCTTACTAATAAAGACCTGATGGAATTGGAGGCCCAGAGAAAGGACGAAGAGAGACAAGAGGAAGACGAAGTAACTGAAGACCTAAGAGATTCACGATGCAGGAAATGGCAAGAGGATTTTCTTTACTTGAGGAGGCACTGTTAGTTTTTGAGGCACGGGACCTGAATGTAGAACAGTACACGAAGGTTGCAGCAGCCGTTCAGAATGCAATCCCATGCTACGGTGTCATCTATGATGAGAAAAGAAGAGCTAGTACCCAGACATCACTGGATCGTTTTTTTCAAGAGGGTGGGTAGAACTGGATCCAGCAAGGAACCAGAACCTGTGCCATCAGCGTCAGGCGTGAGTGAAATTGAAGCTTGCCCTCTGTCTCCTATTGCTGATGACCCTTCATCTCTACCATCTGCCATCTCCTCTCCCTCCTCCAGTCACTAACTCTGCTTGCCTGTTCACTCGATGCCAGCCCCTGGATGCCAGCTGTTGTACTGTACTGCTGTACTTTTCAAGATACTGTACTGTAAGATTAAAAATGTTTATTTTTGTTTGTTTGTTTTTTATGTATTATTTGTGTGAAAAGTATTATAAACCTATTACAGTACAGTACTATATAGCTGACTGTGTTAGTTGGGTACCTAGGCTAACTTTGTTGGACTTAGCAAACAAATTGGACTTAACGAACGCGCTCCTGCAACAGAACTCATTTGTATGTAGGGGCCTTACTGTACGTGGCACATAGAAACTATTCCATTCATGTTGGATATCATTATTTTTAAAATATCTAAAGTCACATTATAAGATTTGTGTGAATTTTGACTCATTTTTATGTTACTGATAATGATTCATTGTTTTACTTTTGTACAGCGAGAGATTTTCATATTCCTTGACTTTTCCAAACAGCCTTGGAGGAGGCTGGTACAAGTATCGTTATTAGCAATTTGCAGATGAGGAAATGGAAATCCACCCAGGGAACTGATTTGCCCATCATCACTTAAATCTCACCAAGTTCAAAAGCTCAGTACTCTGCTTCCAGTTTCAGGGATAGTCCTACCTGCCACTATTTTCAACTACTCTGAGTAAACAGACATGGCTTTCAAAGTATTGTCAGCCTGCCACAAATATTGTTCTCACTGTACAAGATTTATTTACTGTTAGAACTTTGATAGAAATCGTATGGCTAAAGGATTACAATCAAGTTTTGTTTTGTATTTCCTTCTTAATCAAGTTAAACATTGCCTCTGCCTGTGCTGCCTCATTTACACTAATTAGTGGCTTAGCCTTAGAGCCAAGGTAACGCTAACCTAGATAATCGTGACTTTTGATTGGTGCCCTACAGATGGGTGTGTTGCTGAGAAGGGTTTTCTCCTCCCTGGTGGAGCCCCTCATGCCGTGGAGCCTCAGCCACACCCAGGAAGTGGCGCTCTAGGACGGAAATTATATAGCCTCTGCTCTTACCACCAAGCCGGGGTGCGAGGACTGCCACCCAGAGGGATGGCAAAAAGCAGGAGGGGACAGGTGGGAGAACTGACCCTGTGTTCTCAAGGTAACAGCCTGCAACCCTTGCTTTTCGTTTTCAAGGACAGTGGTTCCTTAAAGCTTTCCCTGGTCACCATTAGAACAATAAGCATTCGTCACAGCTTGGCTTACGTTCATGAGGAATAACATCATCAGAGATACAATTTGAAACATAAATATGTACTTCTGCAAAACATAATGAAAATTTCCAGTTGATAGCAAAGTCTCGCCGACCTGAAGCTGTTTTTTTTAAAGAAAATTAT